CAGCCCCAAATGTATCTCAAATCTCAAACATAGAGTAGCTAACTAGCAAGTATAAAAAGCTCTTCGTGAGCGCGGTGTGCCATGTATAGCGTAAACGGCGGCGAAGCTACCTTTCTTGCTTGAAACCCGTAAGTTTTTGAGCTTATTGTATCCCTTCGAGTTCACGAGATATTTGTAACACGTTTAAGCAAACGCATCGATCCGTTGATAGTTTCACGTGATAGTTGGCATCCTCTTGGTAACGGAGCAGTGCTATTTGCAGGCTATCTTGATGTGGCATGCTGCTTTCAAAAGTCCACTCTGTAATGGAAGCTTGTCGACTGTCTCCGAGCAGCCGATACTGGGATAGGATATTTTTCGACACGCTCTACGAGCTACGTCATTGCAATGAGCGCTTGAGGCACCTCCGCCAAGTTAGAAATGAACTGCTGCTCTTCTCTGAGAAAGTCTTAGCCACACGGATTGAATAAGACGCTGCTTCGTCATCAACTGATAGATACACATTCGAGCGGCTCGTCACTGCGGTATAGTGTTATGGTGTACGCGCGTCCACGTTCAACACAAAATGTACTTCGAGATTTACTTGATCCCTATCTTGACAACGATGATAGGCCCAATATATTGAAAATGCACATAATACTTGTAAAGCGCAGACCATGAATAGGTAAGTAGACTATTTGCATTCAAAAATCCGTTTGCCACATAACATATTTAATCAGCCTCCCTTCTGCTTCAGCATTCTGCTTTTGCTCTCTTGGCCCTCAGCCATTCTGCATCGGGCACTCGGCGCATGACTCGTAATCTCATGGTGAAAAAAACTGATTCCGTCTTGAAGCCAAATGATCGAGTCAAAATATATCGAGTACCATTTCTCAATGAATACCGAATCCACTTCGTTGCGGTGTCGATATCGCCCGGCGTTTTCCAAATAATCTGTGTAAGCCCATGTCAAAACTCTACTGTGTTTATGAGAGGAAGCATCTTGCTGCAGCACCGCGTATCTCAACACAAGAGCTTCAAAACAAATACTTTCTCACGCAATCAGCAAGTTTCCATCTGCAGCGGGTCTGCCGTACCTCTTTCTCTTGAAGAAAGCTTGGGTAAGGTCAGTGACCTTCGTTTTGAACTTAGAATCAGTACGAGTTAAGCGGATCGCAGTCCACTTACCCTAGAGTAATTACAACCTTACCCAAGGCTAGCTAAAAATTTTCCTTTTAAAACGTTAACTGTATTATTCAGTGTAATTTGCGGCAAAGCCACTTATATT